TCGCTGTTTTTGACCTGCGTGGGTGTTTTATAAGTATTCATCTTATAATTAAAATATACGTTTATATTTCATGAACTTTTCTGTTGGTATATTCTATAATGAACAATGTGAATGCTTAATAGCATTGTTTTATAAATGAGAGTCACAAATTCAAGGATTTCCCCTTTAGAGAAGATAGGCCTAAGGCACATAGATTAGATGTTAATAGGTATGTAATTTATTGCATAGGGCTAAGATAGATATATTTTACTAATCCCATGTTGTGTCTGTAACAGATTTATATTTATTGTAGAAGACATATATAGCCAGTCTCCAAGATATCCCCAATGATCACCAACACCTAGTATTTATGCCCTTGCAGAGTCCCCTTCTACACGGAATAGGGCTTACTTGTGTAGCAACATCCAAGGCTAATGTCACAAGAGACATTGTGGCTTCCTCCATGCCATCTTTTGATTGACTCTGAGGGAAACCAAGCTGCCATGACATGAGAACGCACTTTAAGAAGTCTTTTAAGGAAGTGAGGCCTATAGCAAACAGCTACCAAGGAACGAAGGGCTCCTGCAAATGACCTGGGAAGTGGACCCTCCAGCTCAAACCCAGATTCCTCAGTCAAAATTTTAAATGACTACAACTTCATGAGAGGCCTTCTTCCAGCAGCACCCTGCTAAGTTACCCTGAGATTCCTGACCCACAAAAACTCTATAATAATATTTGTTGTTCAAAGCTACTATATTTTGGAGTAATCTATTAAGCAAGAACAGGTGACTAGTACAGAGTGTATCAATTAACTTCTTAGAATACTTTTTAAAACAGTCAGATAACACACCCCTAATTAAAATACATCAAAGGCATCATGTTGCTTGTAAACTAAACCCAAACTCCTCACAATGACCTACGAAACCATTCACGCTCTGGTTTCTACCTACCTTAATACCCTTACCTGCTTCCATTTTCTACCTCCTCAAACTTCACTCACTCCTCCTAGATTAATAAAGAATGTACTCTCTTTCCTTGACCTCTGCACTTGTTTCCTTTGCTCAGGAATGCTCTTCCCTACATTCTTGAGTATTCTAGGCATACTTAGTTTCTTTCTATCACTCAGATCTCAGCTTACATGTTCCTTTCCCTGATGATTCATTCATAATGAGAAACCCCTGGAAGGTACCCACTAAAGAGAGGAACAAGATAAGGAGGGCATATCCAAAACCATATAAAATTGGAACTAGTCTGGTACACTAACTATATTAAATGAAAGAAATTAAAAGTATAAAATTTGGAAAGGAGACTAAATTACATGATTGGATGTCTCAGATAGATAAGAAAAATAAATTGGAAAACAAGATATATGTAAAGTCTATGGGAACAAAACTTTAAAAGACCCTGAAGGACAAAAGGCATTAGCAAATGGAAAGGTATAATTTGTAGGATGGAAAGACTAAACATCCAAAAAATTATAAATTCCCCAATTCTTTGTGTGGTGTGATTCCAATAAAAATCCCAATAGAGCCCTGGCCAGTTTGGCTAAGCGGTTAGAGGGTCGGCCTGCGGTCCGGAGAGACCCGGGTTCGGTTCCCGCTAAGGGCATGTACTTCGGTTGCAGTTTGTCCCCGGCCCTGATTGGTCGTGCGGGTGGCAACCATTCGATGTGTCCCTTCACCATCAATGTTTCTCTCTCTCTCTCCCTTCCTCTCTCTCCCTCCCACTCTATCTGTACAAAAAATGGAAAAATATCCTCAGGTGAGGATAAAAAAAAAAAAAAAAAATCCCAATAGGACTTGATTCTTGCAATTAGACTAGGTGATTACAAACTCATACAGAAAAGTAAACAAAGCAAGAATAACCAGGAAATTTCTGAAAACTTAAAAGGAGGAATTAGCTCTATCAAATATAGAAACATACAATAAAAACCTAAATAATTAGATTAATTTGATGCTGATACAGGATAGCCATAACGCTGATGTAACAGAACAGAAAGTCTTCTAATAGAAACAAATACAAATCAGTAGGAAAAATGCACAAGATAACTGAGTAGTCACCTGAAAAAAATAAGTTGTTATTAACAATCCACACACAAAATTAATAAAAAGGCTAAATATAAAAAAGAGAGAGAGAAGTCATTAAATACTATGAAAAGAAAATGGGAGGTTTATAAGCTACAAGTGGTAAAGATTTTTTAAATTAAGCTACAATAGCCCTGGCAGGTTTGACTCAGCAGTTGGAGCATCGGCCTGCGGACTGGAGATTCCCGGTTTTGGGGACACGTGCCTCAGTTACAATTTGTTCCCAGCCTGGGTTGGGGTCATGTGAGTGGAGGCCGCTAAATGTGTCTGTCTCTCTCACAACAATGTTCCTCGCTCTCTCTTCCTCCCTGTGTCCCTACCACTCTGTCTGAAGATAAATGCAAAAATGTCCTCGGGTGAAGATGGAAAAAGAAAAAAAAGATACAATACACTAAAAACATAGAAGATAAAAAAAGTTTTTCATTTTTTACATGATAAAAAATTAACTTTATTTAAACAATATGTATGTTAAAAACAATGACAAACTGAGTAAAGATATTTGCAACTTTGATTACAAATGCTCAATTTCCTAAAGGAGATCCTATACAATCAATATAAAACAAATAAAATAGAAAAATGGGCAGTCTATATATTATTTAAAATATTTTCTACCAACTACATTACCTTTACAAAAAAGTGAATAAAATAAAAGGAAGATTGCCCTAGCTACTGTTTAGATATTGTTTAACAAATCTCTCACACGTAGAGGTTCACTTGTATGTGTGGGTGTTTTGTGGAAACTGAGAAGGGCACTTCAGTTTCAGAGATGGGTTGAAACAGTGTGAATATCAGTCGATCTATGAAGTGAAAAAAATAGTTCACAGCCACCAACCCCCAGTCCCACTTCAACCATTCACAGAAGTTTTAGACTTCTAGGGGAGCATTTTATGAAATTTTATTTAGTTCTTGAAAGGCAAAGTGACCCCAGCAAATATTTGTGAGACTAGAGGATAATTTAAATTTAGTCACTAAGCCTAATCTCAAAATATGTTTGTGACTCTGGGTCAATTTCCTCTCGTCTATAAAATGAAATCACTGGTAGAAATGAATTCATATTTGTATTCCCAGTATCTGGCCCAGAGCTTGGCAATCCGAAGTATTCAATAAACAGGAGTTTCTTCACTTCTCTCATTCTTGATTTTTTTTTTTTTTTAATTCCAAAATATACTCACATTGTAACAAATTGAAGGCAAGCATCTTAGTTGGGACTTAATTCTAAAACATCAAAATAACAGGTTTTTAACATGTAAAGGAAAATTTCTCATGTTATAGAAATCCAGATTTAGGAAAACCTGGGGTTGGTGTGACTTCACTGGTATCATCAGAGACTCAGGGTCCCATCTTTCTCCCACCATCCCAGTCCAAATCTGCCACTATCAACTCAATTTGTGGTTCCAGATGACTGTTGGACCTAAAACCATTAATCCATTTTCCATAAATGATGGACACATAAGAGTACATACTGTATGATTCTTGTTAAATGCAGTTAAAAAATCTCTTTATAGTGATAAAGGTCAAAATAGTGGTTATCTTTACATGAGTTATTCACTGGCAGGGGACCCAAGGAAGCCTTCTAGGGTGCCAGAAGGAATGATGTATATCATTATCTGGGTACATATGGAGAATTTCTTAATATGTACACTTAAGACTTGTACACTGTACCCAATGTAAGATAACAACCTAAACAAGGTACTTCCCAGTTCTCTGAGCTTATCTGTATTTTCATAAGACTATGAGCTTGGAATAGATTGAAGACACAAAGTATTCTAAAGCATTGTGCTTATTACAGCTTTTCATTTCAAAGGTTAGAAAGTAACAAAACCACAGGTCTACAAGACCAGGTAAGGATGTAACAATTGTTTTACTTTAGGAATACCTTATCTCCATTTTGTATTTAATGCTTCTCTGTGAAAGGGTATAAAAATAATGGCTTTTATCTTTTCCACACTCATGACAGAGTCCCTCTGTGAGGATTTATGGGGCAACATATGTCACGTTCTTAACATAGTACCTAATATGTAATACCAGGTAGCAGTTACTTTTATTATTTACTATCATCATTACATCATCATTATTAACAAATGATAGCACAGGCATCTCAAATGATTCTATGGTCAACAATTCCAAATAAACTGGTTAATATCCTTATAAATGTGAATATCCTACTGAGAATATATATTTGGCCATGACCAGTTTTTTAATAGAGAAATTCCTAAAAAAACTGAATCCAGTTCTTATTACTTCTAGCCCTGCATTTTCAAAAAACTCAAAGTAGTCATAGGAATAAGTTTGAGAATAGGTTATAAAAAATTTTGATTTTGCTTTCAATATTATATGATCCTCATTAAGGTGGATACTGAATTAGAAAAAATTTCAAAATATACTAACTGATAAAATAAAGACATAAAGTAGTATGTATAGGTTAGGTTATCTCATTATAAATGCATTGAATAATTTCTGGTAAAAGTGGTGACCTTGGGGAAATGAAGAAGATCATTGGGTAACAGCTGGGAAGGGTTATACCACTTTGTTCATTTAACATAAAAAGATAGATAGCTTTCTTTTTTCTTTTTCTTTTTTTGCTTTTGCATTTATTTTCAGATAAAGCAGGAAGGAGAGTGGGAGGGAAGAAGAGAGAGAAAAACATCCATGTGAGAGAGACACATCAACTAGTTGCCACCCACACAACCCCAACCGGGGCCGGGGACAAACTGCAACCGAGGTACGTGCCCTTAGTGGGAACCGAACCGGGGCCTCTCTGGTTTACAGGCTGATGCTCTCACCACTAAGCCAAACTGGCCAGGGTGATAGATAGTTTTCTTAATATTTCCCTAGGAATAATGAAGTGGGTATTTTTCTTGTCCATGTTTTCATTGGGAAAAAGTTAATTGATTTGGAAAATCCATTTTGAGAAATGTATAAACACAAAACACTTACCCACTTAGCGATTGGACACCCATGAGAGCTTTTGCCTTCTTTTCCGGTATACACTACTATTTCTATCCTTACTGCGCTTCCTTTTTGCCCATACCTGAGTACAAAACACAGTAAAAAGGAAATAATTGCAATATATACTTTTAACTACTTAACAGAAGTATAAAAATCAAACACTCCTCACAATTTACTTTTGTTAAAAATTTAGTTTTGTATGGCAGATATTTTTATTATCCAGTTGTTTATTTATCATTAAAGATCACTCTTTAAAAAATTGCCTGACTCCAAGACAAGACAAAAAGAATGTGAAAGGGTGTTGACAGAGGTAATTTAAACTGTTTCTACTATTATCATCAATAATGTAAAAATGAATATTTCCGAATTTAAAGACAGCCTTGCTTCGTGAGAGTCCTGTTGAGTGCCTAGTGGCTCATGTTATGAGTGACTCAGCAGTGACACCAGGAAGCTATTCTTTCCTGGACCCTAAGCAACATCCAACTCATACTCCTGAAGGTTTTCCATTCACCTCATATTTGTTCCCAGAGAAAATTACTCTGCATTGAGTCTGGTCCACAGTAATGAACGATTTTAACAGGGAAGCAGATTTCCTCACCTATTCTCCATGATTTCCCTGACAGCAGCAACACTTGGTCCTGCCCCAAGGTGTGTATAATATGGGCCTTTTTCTTTTTGTATAACTCGATCTGTGGAAGGAATAAGATTATTAGACCCAAAGTTTTACAGAACTGGGTAGGGGCAAGAAAGATCTATTTTTATAATCCCCCCCCACCCCCCGGCCCTAATTCAGAACAATGAATCTTGACAAGGTTTAGGTAAGCTTCAATAATTAAAGTCTAGGACAACAGGCCCTGGAATTTAACTTGTTCCTTTCTGTTGCTAACTAATTCATTCTTCCTCTGAGAATCAGAGGGGAAAATATATTTTGAGATATGGGTGACATTTACTCTCTTATTTCCTGCTTTTAAAAAAATCTATTAATACTTGAGGTGCAAAATTAAAATTAATCCAAGAGCAATAAATTTAAAAGCATGGCTTCAGTATCCCATTAATGGAGCTCAACAATTGCACTGCTAAAAATTTATTCTACTCTACAATCACACAATTATGTATTTATAATGCAAATATACACAAGAATGTTCCTAGTTAAAATTATTTGTAATATCAAGAGAGAGAGTAACACCCATAACATTTGTCAATACGTGATAGGTTAGGGTTAGAGGTTTATATAGTGGAAAACAATAAAGCGATTAAAACAATGGTATTTATACACACTAAAAAAAAAAATCTAAGAAATTTTAAAACTTTACTATTTAAAAAATTTTTAATTATATTCAATATTATTTTGTATTGCTTTCAGGTTTACAAAAAAAAAATCTAAGAATTCTTAAGGTAAAGAAGCAAACTGCAAAAATATATTTTAAAAGACTTAGATATTTTTAAAATTGGAAACAAAATTACTATCAGTATAATGTTAATTCGTGTAGAAAAACTGTAATAGGCTTTATGATTAGACTATGTTTGCATCATATTTCTGTACCATTTGAATTTTGGGAATGTGAATCACATATTTCTAGAAACAGTATTTTTTATAACATTTTATATAATTTATAATACAGTGCTTGTATAAAAACTCAAAGTTGCTAGAGAGCATACAATTTTCAAAAATGCCCTGAGTTTTTGTTACATTCATTTTTCTAAGGATGTACTCAAATCAATGGTAAAATGCAGAAATTATGTCATATTTCATTATCTTTGGTAAAACCATTCTCATTATTTGGTCTCCTCACAGAATTAACTCTGATGTCTACTTTGTGCAGAAAACAGCATTTTTATCTTGGGCTCTTAGAATCAAGCCTAACTAGAATCACTGTAAATGCAGTCCTGGCCATGGTGTACCCAGTTACACCAAAAGGTCATTACTGAGCCATTTTGATTGGGTTTCCAATACAATTTGGGATTAAGTTCTGTGGCTTCTTAAGCAAGATATATTGAATAGATTTTAACTTACTACTGGTACTTTAAGACAGTGGTTCTTAACCAGAAGGATTTTTTCCTGGCGGGACATTTGACAATATTTTTGGGTGTGACAAATGGGCAGATGTGTGTGTGGATGCGCGCGTGTGTGTGTGTGTGTGTGTGTGTGTAGAGTCCAGGGATGCCACTAAAAAGTCTACAATGCATCAGACAAGTCTCTCTATAACAAAAAATTATTCCATTTAAAATGCCTACAATGGTAAATTTGAGGAACCCTGATCTAAATAGAGGTTATATCCTTATTTTGCTAGAACATAGTATACCTCCATGGAAATCCTTTACCCTTAGATTTGATGATCCCACTTGGGATGATTACTAAGTCTGTATTTTGTTTCTCTTAAGTTTCCTTTTCTATAGAATGAGCACAATAACCTCACACGTAATGATTATAAGAAAGCATATACGTGACAACGTATAAAACAGTTCTGCATCCACTGCAGATACTCAATTAACTTTGAAAGCCTGCTGAACTCCTACACTGTCACTAGTTACTATGTGTAAGGAAAGGGTCTTGAAACTGAACAATCATCCTATTGAAACTATGCACACAGTATAAGTATATAAATTTACTTATATACCTAAGGTATATACATTTTAATGGCGTTTTATTTATTTATTTATTTTTTATCTTCACCCAAGGACATTTTTCTATTTTTTGTTCAGACAGAGTGGGAGGGAGGGACAGGAAGAGAGAGAGAGAACACATCGAATAGCTGCCACTGCACGACCAACCAGGGCCGGGGACAAACTGCAACTGAGGTACGTGCCCCTAGTGGGAACCAAACCCAGGTCTCTCCAGACCACAGGCCAATGCTCTAACTGCTGAGCCAAACCGGCCAGGGCTTAATGGCATTTTAAATTAGAGATCTCTTTGTTCCACTTGTAATGATATTTAAGAAAATCACTTTTACTTTTTTCTCTTCAGATGCTGAAGATAACATAGTTTCTGGAGTTGGGATTTCCCATTTATGAATTCTAGTTTAGTTGTTTACTATTGTAAACTTCTCTGTGCCTCAGTTTCCTCATTTGTAAAATGGGGATAATAAGCCTTTTCTTGGTAAGGTTGTGAATACAAGCCAAGGGCATAGCACCGTATCAGATATACAATAAAAGATCTGGAATAGGTGCCATTACCATTACTACACTCATCTGTCCTTGGTCCAAGAACAAATCTCTCATTCTTTCAATTCAACCCTACTCAGACCCTACTGTAACCCTTCCCAGATTGTGAGATTGTTCTCAGGAGCCTATCTTTGGTGCCTGGCACATGGTAGACTCTCAAAACTTTGTGATGAATGATGAGTGTAGAAATGAAAGGAATCATTTCAGAATAGCAAATGTACTTTGGATAATCAAAAACTAAAAGTCATTGCTATACTTCACTATTTTAACTACAGTGGTTTAAAAAATAACCAGAGTAATATACTTTATCCTTCCAAATAATCCTTTATGACCCATTCTGGAGTAAACTACCTTCTTGTAGTGAAAAGACTGCTTCTAATAAAAAGTCAAGTCTGTAATTTGAGACACATTTTAAGAAAAGCTGTTTTTGTTGTTGTTGTTGTTGTTTTATCCTCAGCTGAGGACATTTTTCCGTTTTTTGGTTCAGATAGAGTGGGAGAGAGAGAAACATCGACATGAAAGGGACACATCGGGTGGTTACCACCTGCACAACCCAACCAGGGCTGGGGACAAACTGCAACGGAGGTACGTGTCCTTAATGGGAACTGAACCCAGGCTGACTCTCTAACTGCTAAGCCAAACCGGCCAGGGCAGAAAAGCTGTTTTAATAATTAAACTTATTTGGGTTCGAAATAGGTTATTTTACAAATCTGTCCTATGATAAGCTATATGTAAGCTGCAATAATGAGATTCAAGCAGCCTAACAAACTTTAAGGACACAATCTATTTAATCTCCCTAATTTACAGATATATTTGAGTAAATAAATTTCTTCTCATATTTACACACTTACACGAAGTTTGACTAAAGACATTGACTAATCAGTACAGGATTCAAATTAAGCTTACATATGTTTCAAATACTGAGCCAATTTCTCATTAGACCTGCCTGAGAATCTTTACTCCAGAAATATTTTCTCAAGGTTTTTAAAACATTGATAGAACTTCTATTTGTCATTTTCTGAATATTCTCTTTCAGTGACTCCTAAGGCACAAAATATACTAATACATTACTTAGAAACTGGTCCATGATCCAGCTTTTCGCACAAACCTAGTATTATTTGAAATAGAAAATTGATATCTATTTAACGATTTTATATTTTAAAACTCCAAAAGGTTTGCAAATTCTTCAACTAGCCAAGATTATAAATTTTTTCATATACGATATAGGCACACCCTTTATATCGCAGAGCAAAAAAGCACTGGGCACTGAAAAAGTATTAATCCAGTTCCAGTTTTTTTGTTTGTTTGTTTGTTTGTTTTTATCCTCACCCGAGGATATTTTTCCATTTTTTGTACAGATAGAGTGGGAGGGAGAGAGAGGAAGGAGAGAGAGAGAGAGAGAGAAACATCGACGTGAAGGGACACATCGAGTGGCTGCCACCCGCACGACCCAACTAGGGCCAGGGACAAACTGCAACCGAGGTACATGCCCTTAGTGGGAACCAAACCCGGGTCTCTCTGTACCACAGGCCGACGCTCTAACCGCTGAGCCAAACTGGCCAGGGCTCCAGTTCCAGTTTTGACTGGGGTAGCAATTAAACAAATACCTTTTATAGTTATTAGAGAAGTTGTACATATATTTTACATTCTACGTATCCAAAACTATTTTTTAAGCAAAAAGCTTACAGGTTGAAATTCTTTTGAATATAGAAAGAATAAACTATAATAAAGTATTAAGGGAACTCATTCTTATGATATACAGAATAAATTTTGAGAGACACTGAGCCATAAGGAAAATCAACACATTTTTCACTCGAGAAAGTTTCCTAATTATGAATTGAATTTCCAATTTATCTCAGCAGAATCAATAAAGGTCTTACAGAAAAATGAGTATAGAATTATTTAGTCCATCTTAGCTGGAATATGAATGGGGCAAAAATGCCATATATAAAATACAACCCAAAACTTGAGTCAGTCATGACTTGATGCAATTAGTGCAGGTAAATGAAGAAGAAACACACACAACACACACACGCACTTACCAAGGCAGTTACAGGTTGGCAATTCAGAATCTTTTGTTGTGGACACGAGGTTTTTTGTAGGATTAGTAAAAAAGTTCATGGCATAATTATTAAAACTTTTCTGTGCGTTGTCTACTGGGGAAAATTCTGATGATCCAACACTCGACAAACAGATGTCCTCTTCGCTTTTGGTAGAAACCACTGTAATTCCACCGGAACATACTACATTTACATTCCTGAGAACTTGTGCTGGGTCCAATGAGGGGGTCTCATGAGAGATCCCAGGCAATGTTGGCTGTTGCTGATGCATGAGTTGGTCTTTAACATCCAGCTGGAACTGTATTTGGTCATTGTTAGCCATCACATTAGCACACTGATTAGTTGGAGAAGAAGGTTGGAGTAAAGGATGAGCTTTCTGATTGACATTCACTGTTGGCTGTACCTGAGAATTATAAACTTTTTCTGTAAACGCCTGCCCACTGGATTCTGTTTGTAACTGGGATATGGGGAGAGAATCCAACAGATCAACCTTCATCATTTTTTCCTGTGCTAATTCAGGATAATATCGTTCAAATTTTATCTGAGTGATTGGAGGAAATAATTTTTTGTGTTCTAATGCTGAACTTGTTTGAGTCAGTGGTTTCCATACTTTGGTTACAGGAGGAATTTTTCCCAACAGGATAGGAAAATGATGTGGACCAAATTGACCAAATCTTTGAAATTTAGATGCTATCCAGAGGTCATGTAATTTACTATATTCATGTGACAACTGTTCCTGCTTTTTCTGGTCATTTTCTTGACAACTCATGGCTGCAGGCTTCTTTTTCCGCCGATCTCTTGATGGGGTAGATTTCGTCTTTTTCTGGGTTGTGTTCTTTTGCTTTGTTAATGATGAGCTATGATTATTTTGTACACTGGAAGGTGGTTTCTGCTGTATCGTACCCTTCTCCTGACTGTGTTTTTGCTGCACATTATATGCAACAGGGTTTGTTGGTGTACTTTCAACATTTATTTCGTCTTGTTTTATATAATTGAAGTTAATTATTGATGCAAGTTGTGTTAACTGTGTTGCAACATCTTCCTCTATTTTACTATGAACTGTATCTTGACATAATGAATCATCCTTTGAGTCCAACTTTTTAGTGCTGTCCAATAATTGGTTACAGGACCCTAATGTATTACTTGTTGGTGGCAACTGATGCAAATTCTTGGAGCAACTATCAAGATTAATTTTACTTGGAGCAGCATTTTTATTGGTGTCAATTTCAGATGAACTTGAATTTGGTGTAAAAAGAGATACTGTATTTTTTACTTTTGAATATTCCTGTGGTTTTGTGGAAGCCTGGTTAGTAGCTGAGATGTTGTGTGACTTGGAAATGATATTTTGGCCATTAAACACCACTGTGTTGCATGAACTTTGCTTTTCCAAAGATGGACAGTGAGGAAGGCTTTGAGGCTCCCCTTGCAAATTTGGTTCTTGGAGGTCTTTCTTTACAGAATAGAGGATGGCTTTACAGCTATTAAGCAAACTAGCTGTTCTCTGCTCTGTTTCTTCATCCTTCTCTGACTTTGATGGTGAGGAATTTTCTGAAGGGGCTTCTGAAAGCTGAGTCAAAGCTTCTATAGCAACCACTTGCTCCAGTGTTAGTCTCCTATCTTTCATTAGGGATAGAAGACTGGGCTGAACTGGAGATCCATGTTTTGGTTCTTTACTTGGTATATTTTCTATAGATTTTGGTTGATCACTTTCAGTGGGTGTAGTAATATGACTATTTAAGTTGAAGTTTGCAGGATCTGGAAAAGACTTGCAGTTAGAGCCAGGCTTCTGGAAGACTAAAACGTTACTTTTCCCCTTAAGATGATCGCAGCTTGCATCAGTAGCATTAGAGCTCATGGCATTGTTATGCTTTGCAGGGTCTTTCAGGAGTTTATAGGAATTATTTTCAAACACCTTGCCAAGTTCTTCAATGTTGAATTTTTTAAAAGACACATTTGTTTCAGATGGTAAATAGTGTACATTTTTAATGCCGTTTCTTACAGTTTGTGCAAACAATTTTTGAGGTTCAAGGAGTTCAGTAAGTAGGACTTTGTTCCTGTCATCTTCAGAGTTTTTCAGTTTTTCAGCTTCTGTCACAATTGTCTTGACCTCTCCTTTGACTTGTTCAGTTAAATGTGATTTCTTGTTTTGCGTCCATTTCTCCACTTCAATACCTGTCATACTTTCTTCATTTTTAGTTACATTTTCAAGGGGATGAGGGTTCAATTCCAATCTTTTTTCTTCCCCATGACCACATCTACTGTAGTCCATGGATTCTGACTTGAGGCCATTTACTGGTTTGTTGTTAAAATCTGCCTGTGAAACAAACACAGAAAATATTCGTATTATGCATTTAAATACCTAAATAAGAGCCATTGGAACTTTACAATTTAAGAGAAAATAAATGTGGACCAGCTAGTGTGGCTCAGTAGTTGAGTGTTGACCCATGCAGCAAAAGGTCGCTGGTTTGACTCCCAGTCAGGGTACATGCCCAGGTTGCAGGCCTGATCCCCCAGTAGGGGGTGTGCAGAAGGCAGCCGATTGATGTTCTCTCTCATTGATGTTTCTATCTCTGTCTCCTTCTCCTTTCCTCTCTCTCTAAAATTAATAAAGAAAAATATTTTTAAAAAAGAAAGAAAAAAAATATATGGGACGCTCCAGAGAAAATATTATTTTCATTTTTACATGTTCAGAGAAGTCATAAAATACCAGTAAGAGGTATGGAGGGAGAGAGAGAGAGAGAGAGAGAGAGAGAAATAGAAATTATCATAATCTCATGACTGTTAATTTAATAATTTGATATGCTCATGTTTTGCCAAATAAATCTTAAAAATAATTTTAAATTGGTACAATTCAATGGGAATAGCCATTATTTTAATGCAAAGAGCACTTAAGTAGAATACACAAAGAAAATGTACAAATACATATACCACTTGTTAAAGTTGCACAAAATGAACACCAAGAAAGTTTCTTCCAGTCATCACTGAACTGAAAAGAGTAATCATTGCTTTGACATCTGTCATAGATTTCCTTTGCTTATTTTCAAATTTTATATAACAGACTTCCTTTCACTCAAAATTATATTATGAGATTCATCCATGTTAAGTATATCTGTAATTCATTATTTCTTATTGTTGTATAGTAATGTATTTATTTATTCTACTGTAGATGGACATTTAAGTTATTTCTAGTTTTTGTTTGTTTGTTTGTTTGTTTGTTTATCCTCACCAGAGGACACTTTTCCACCTTTTGCTCAGGTAGAGTGGGAGGGAGAGAGAGGAACAGAGAGAGAGCGAGAAACATCGATGTGAAAGGGACACATCGAGTGGCTGCCACCCGCACAACCGACCAGGGCCGGGGACAAACTGCAACCGAGGTACGTGCCCTTAGCGGGAACCAAACCCGAGTCTCTCAGGACCGCAGGCTGACGCTCTAACCGCTGAGCCAAACAGGCCAGGGCTAGGTTTGTTTTTTTTTTATCCTTACTCAAGGACATTTTTGCATTTATCTTCAGATAGAGAGGAAGGGAGAGAGGGAGGAAGAGAGAGAGAAACATCAATGTGAGAGACACATCAACTGGTTGCCACCCATACAACCCCACCCCAGGCCAGGGACAAACTGCAACTGAGGTACGTGCCTTTAGCGGGAACCAAACCCAGGTCTCTCTGGTTCGTGGGATGACACTAACCACTGAGTCAAACCGGACAGGGCATATTTCTAGTTTTTAACTATTACAAGTATACTCCTACACAATTATTACTGTTATCTTTTGTTGAACATATATATACACTGAGGAGTGAAAATGCTGGGTCCTGGAGTGTGTCAGTATGTCTGTACCTCTTCAGCGTTAGTAGATAGGGCAAAAAAATGTCTAAAGTGGTTACCAATACACATTCCTACCAGCAGTTGTGACAGCTCCAGCTGTTCTACATTCTCCTCAACAATTAATATTTTCTATCTTTTCACTTTGGTCATTCTGCTCAGTGGGTAGTGATATAATCCCTTCGAAAAAATTATTTTGACATCAAATTCTAATAAAATAAAATTCAACGTTAGCATTTCAAATTGTACATATCACCCTGGCCCGGTTTGGCTCAGCGGTTAGAGCATCGGCCTGCTGTCCAGAGAGACCCGGGTTCGGTTCCCACTAAGGGCACGTACCTCGGTTGCAGTTTGTCCCCAGCCCTGGTTGGGTCATGTGGGTGGCAGCCACTTGATGTGTCCCTTTCATGTCAATGTTTCTCACTCTTCCTCCCCCTCTATCTGAACAAAAAAAAAATGAAAAAATGTCCTCGAGTAATAATAATAAAAAAAAATTTTACATATCATTGGTTTTTAGTATATTCACAAAGTTGTACAAAAAGCGACTCTAATTCCAGGACATTTTCATCATCCTAAGAGAAACACTGTACCCATTAAGTAATCACTTTCTCCTCTCTTATCCCTATTTTTATTTTTTAAAATATGTTTTTATTGATTTTTTTTTTAGAGAGATGAAGGGAGCCCTGGCCAGTTTTGCTCAGCGGTTAGAGCGTCGGCCTGCGGTCCAGAGAGACCCAGGTTCGGTTCCCGCTAAGGGCACGTACTTCGATTGCAGTTTGTCCCCGGCCCTGGTCGGTTGTGCGGGTGGCAGCCACTCGATGTGTCCCTTCACATCAATATTTCTCTCTCTCTCCCTTCTTCTCTCTCCCTCCCACTCTATCTGTACAAAAAATGGAGAAATATCCTCGGATGAGGATAAAAAATAAAAATAAAAAAATAGAGAGATGAAGGGAGAGATGGATAGAAACTATGTGAGAGAGAAACATAGATCAGTTGCCTCCTGCACAACCCTTACTGCGGATTGAGCCTGCAAGGCAGACATGTGCCCTGACTAGGAATTGAACAGGGACCTCTCAGTCCATGGGATGACGCTCAATCTACCGAGCCACACCGATTGGGCTCTTATTTTTAAAACCTTCAAACGGCTCATCCAAAATTATACCATAAGAATTGAGATAGTAGGAGCATTGCCACTGATGTCAGGAGCAAACAGAAAGATAACGTCTATATTACTGAAATTTAGACATGGCACTGGGGAGCAAATAAGAAATAAAAAATTAGGAAACTTCTTTTTTGTGAGTTAATCCTCACCTTAGGATCTTTTCTTTAATTGATTTTTTTTTTTTTTAAGAGACAGTGGAAGCTTCTGGAAATATATCCTAAGAAGCATGATACACCAATCAGGAAGAATATATGCACTCCTATGTTCAGAGCAGAACAACATAGCTAAGATCTGGAAACAGCCCACGTACCCATCAGGTGATGATTAGATAAAAAAGCTGAGATATATCTACGCAATGGAACACTATACAGTTGTAAGACAGAGAGATCTTTTACCTTTTGTGATGACATGGAAGGACCTGGAGAGTATTATGCTAAGCGAAATGAGCTAGTCAGAGAAAGACAAGTACCACATGATCTCACTTATTTGTGGAACATAATGAACATACTAAGCTGTCGACCAAAAGAGATCCAGAATCATGGAAGTACAAAACAGACTGACAAACCTCAGAGGGATGGGGGGTGAGAGGGGTGGGAAAAGATAAACCAAAGAACTTATATACATATATGCACAACCAATCAATGGGGACACTAGGCTGGAGAAGGCAGAAGGAGGGTAGGAGCAGGAAGAGGGCAGGTCAATATGAAAAAAAAAGGGGACATCTGTAATACTTTCAACAATTTATAAAAAAAGAGAGACTAGAAGGACTGGCCAGTGTGGCCTCACTGGATGGATCATCCACCCATGCAGCAAGACGTCACTGGTTTGATTCCTGGTCTGGGCATATGCCCAGGGTTGTGGGCTCGATCCCCACTGGGAGATATGCAGGAGGCAGCCAATTGATGTTTCTCTCTCATTGGTGTTTCTCTTTGTCCAAAAAAAACGAAAATCAATAAAAACTTCTTTTTTTTTTTTTAAATAGAGAGAGTGTAAAGGGAGAAAAGAAGGAGGAAAGACAAACATTGATGTGAGGGAGACACATTACATGCAACCCAATCACTGGGTATTGAACCTGCAACCCAGGTATGTGTCCTAGACCAGGAAATGAACCAGAGACCCTTTGGTCTGAGGGTTGCTACTCTAACCGATGAACCAAAACAGCCAGGACTAAATCCTAGTCTTTCAGTCAGTACTCTGGGGTATTTCTTTAAAATAGGCAGGCAATGAACTGAGGTTTTCTTAGACCTCGACACTTTGCATAACACCACTACTAGGAATTTGTACAAAACTTTTGCAGTAAAGTTTAATTAATACTTAATTAAACTTTATTAAAAATTAAAAGCAATAATAATTTAATATACAGGGTAAATAAACTAACAGACTAAACTCAGGAATATGAAATAATTTATCATTAAAGTATGATCCCTATCTCATATCATACAACAAAAATTTCAAATATAGGTCTGGCTGGTTTGGATCAGACATTAAGAGTATAAGGCCTGCAGATAGAAGGGTCAGGGGTTGAATTATGCTCAACAGAATGTACCTGGGTTGCAGGTTTGATACCCAGCCAGGTAGGGCTCATGAGGGAGGAAACCAATAGATGTGTCTCTCTCACATCAATGCTTCTCTCCTTCCACTCTCTCTAAAAATCAATGGGAAATGTCTTTAAGTAAAGATTAACAACAAAAACAATTCCAGATATATTAATTTAAATATAAAAAGATGTGAAAAGCCCTGACCTGTTTGGCTCAGCGATTAGAGCGTCGGCACGCGGACCAGAGAGTCCCAGGTTCCGTTCCCACTAAGGGCAAATACCTTGGTTGTAGTTTGTCCCCGGCCCCAGTTGGGGCCATGTGAGTGGCAACCAGTCAATGTGTCTTTCTCACATAGATGTTTCTCTCTCTCTCTTCCCCCCTCTCCCTCCCACTCTGTCTGAATATACATGCAAAAATGTCCTCGAGTGAGGATAAAAAATTTTTTTAAAAGATGTAAGAAGAGCCTTGGCCAGTGTGCTTGGCGCACACTTGATTGGAGCATTGTCCAGTACATGGAAAGGTGGAGGGTTCTATTTCTAGTCAGAGTGTATATTTAAGTTGCAGGTTCGATCAGGAGCAACAGATCAATCTCCATCTCTCTCTCAAATCAATTAAACACATATACTTGGGTGAGGATTAAAAATAAATAAATACAGCCCTGGCCAGTTTGGCTCAGCGGTTAGAGCATTGGCCTGCGGTCTGGAGAGACCCGGGATCGGTTCCCGCTAAGGGCACGTACTTCGGTTGCAGTTTGTCCCCGGCCCTGGTTGGTCGTGCGGGTGGCAGCCACTCGA